GAGAAAGAGGCATATTTAAAAACACAGAAATCATCTGGCTTGTTTTATTGAGTGCTCTTCAACCACTTAAAAACAGGCTCCCTTTAATCTGCTGCAAAGTTCCTAGGCTACAAACTAAATATGGTAGTTTTCTTCCCAAGGTGACCTTCACTGGTTTAACAAGCTGGATGTTTGGCTTCCAGAAGAGATTGTAAAGTTGAGGTGGAGTATATCTGATCTACTCTTTGTGTTGTGACTGTTGTGTAGGGATTTAGGCAGCAAGGTATGTAGACTGAACAACAGAACAATAGTTTGGGGAGGAATTACTCACAGAAACCTCACTGCAAAATTCTGCAAGAAGGAAGGTTTTCTCTATCCAAAAGAAGGCAATTGCTCAGTTCTACTATCCCTTCTTCCTGGCTCCCTGCTATAGGAGGTTTCAAAGAGAAGAAAAAAGAAAATATGCAGCAACATATTTCAATGCCTCTGAATTGAGGCTATTTAATTATACTTGGAAAAGACTGCAGCAAATTCTAGCTCTGAAACAACAGGTACACAGAAAAACACAAAGGAGCAGCATTGTGCAGAAGCATGCACATTTACATCAGATACAAGGCTTCAGTTCCAGCTGAGGAATCTCAAAGGCATAATAACTGAAGTGATTTTAAAAGGAGACCTAAAATAGAGTAATACAAAAATGCCCTCTTGTTCTGTGGAATTCAAAAGCATGTTCCAAACAGACTCAAAAACATGTGGATTAGTCAGTCATGCCACTCGCCTCTTCTTCCTCCCCTCCCCTCCCAAGTTGCTGCCTCTGGAAAGACATCTCGCTGGAGGAAGGGGGCCTCTGGGAAGCTCCTCCAATACCTTTGGCTAATGGAGGAGCAGAGGCTTGCATGTCTCATCCTGCCAGCGGATGTGCTGCTGCTGCACTGGGGTGCTGGTGGCAGTGGGAAAAGTCAGGTGACGTGGCTCTCCTGGGGGTTCTGGCTGTGAAGGAAGGGAGAAGGGTCAGTTCCAAATCTTCTTCCACGAAAGGTGACTCAGCCTTGCGGAAAGGACAATTCACAGCATGAAACAACCACTGGCCTCCGCACCGTGTTAACTACCTTGAGCTCACTCAAGGTAAAAAAAAGCATAGTGTAGACACAATCTGAAGTGTCTGGCTGAGCAAGAAGAGTACCACAGCTTCCGACTGGAGACCTACATCGGAAAGGAAAGGAAACTAGTTTGAACTGAAGACTATTGATTTGCCCATGGGCTTGGAGAAGAAACGTATGGAAAATGTGAAGAGGACAGGTGTGGACTACATTGTGTAAAAAGTAAAACTCAAGCTAAGCCAGAGCAGAGTAGGAGCAAAAGTCTCAAATGCCTTTTTTATTTGAGGAATGGGGTGAGAGTTAAAATAGACTAAAGCACATTTTGCATAAAGTTTCAGGGAAGCTGCAGGGGAAGAGAATGAGGTGCTGGCTGGGACAGAGTGTACATATATGTAGATAGAAATATAGATATAAAATGGGGACCACGTCAATTTTTAATGCCACTTTTATTAAATTCATGCATTAAATATAACATAAAATAGTTTTAACATCCGTGTTTCTGAGGACATCCCTAGTCCTACTCCATAAAACTCTTTTCCGTTAAAAAAGGGATGAAAGAAAGCCAGCGCAAACTAAGAGCAGGATTAGATTCACTGTTTTAATCCACAGGGGAAGAACAGCAGTTCCTGGCACTCTAGAGAAACCCTGATAGCAGTACTTGCCTGGGGGGATGCACTGAATTCTTCTTCTTTGGCAATCCCTTGCGGTCAAGAATGGTTGTCTTCCATGATTGTCTTATCTGTGTGGCCAAAGATGGCTGATGAAGCTTACCCAGGGTCAACAGGCTCTACCGCAGCTTGGACACGTGTTTTCGTGTGGGGTGGGTGGCTCTGGATTCTTGATTTGGTCCACGACATACTGTTTCTGCCGCTCCCACTTTTTCATCTACTGTTGTTGTCATGAGGTTTCAAAGTACAGAGATCCCTGCAGCAGACTCTTCCTCCATTTGGGCTGGTCCTTGGTGATAGTCTCCCATGAGTTGCCATTAATGTTGCATTAAGTTGGCCTTGAGGATGGCCCTGAAGCACTCTCTCTGCCCTCCTCTTGAGCATACACCTTTTCTGAGCTGGGGGAATAAAAATTGCTTTGGGAGTCTGGAGCTGGACATCTGGATGACACGACCAGCCAAACAAAGTTGATATCAGATGATCATCACCTCAATACGTGGTGTTTGCTTGCATAAGGACGCTAAGGTTGATGTATCTGTCTTCCCAACGGATTAGGAGGATCTTCCACAGGTAGCATCGATGGTGCAACTTTAGATGTCTCCTGTACATTGTCCATGTCTCAGCTCCAGACATCAAGGTGGGGATCATGACTGTTTGATAAACCATGAGGTTGGCTTTAGATCTGATATCATGATCTTCACACACCCATTTCTTCACGCGTCCAAAGGGTGCACTTGCACGTCTGAGGTGATGTTGGATTTTTTTCTTGATGTCAGCCTTCTGCAAGAGATGGTTTCCAAGGTACAAAAAAATACTCAGTGTTCTCCAGAGTCTCACCGTGGATCTGAATTAATGAAGCTGGGGATTGTTCATTAGGAGCTTGTTGGTGGAGAACCTTAGTCTTCTGAATGTAAGTGTCAGTCCCATTGTCTTGTATGCCTCAGTAAAGACGTTGACAATTGCCTGAAAGTCTGCTTCTGAGTGAGCGTACACTACAGAATCATCAGCATACTGGAGCTCAGTGATTGAGGTCAAGGTGGTCTTGGTTTTGGCTCAGAGTCAGCTGAGGTTGAACAACTTACCATCCTTTCAGTAGTTTAGCTCAACTCTGGCTAGAATCTCGCCGGTGGTCAGATGTAGCATCACAGCAAGAAATATTGAGAAGAGAGTTGGAGCAATGATGCAGCCTTGTTTAACTCCTGTCTTAACCTCAAAGGGATCTGTGATGGATCCATTACTGAGAACCATTTCTCACATACTGTCATGAAGAAGGCAGAGAATAGTGACAATTTTGATGGACATGCATGCTTCAGAAGGATCCTCCACAACACTTCTTGGCTGACAGAGTCTTAAGCTTTCATGATATCAAAAAAGGCCATGTAGAGAGGCTTATCTTGTCCCTGGCATTTCTCTTGCAGCTGGCAAGCTCTGAAGATCATATCAGTTGTGCCTCTTGAGGCCCTAAACACACACTGAGATTCCTGGAGGAGCTCTTCAACAGGTGGAAGGAGACTGTTCAGGAGGGTTCTCACAATGATCTTTCTGTGGTGGATAGCAAGCCAATCCCTCTCTAGTTTCCAGTTGGACTTGTCTCCTTTCTTGAAGACTGTCACAATCATTGTGTCCCTGAGGTCATCTGGGATTTTCTCATCATTCCAGATCCTTAAGATGACAGCGTGAAGCTGTGATGTCAGCTCCTTTCCCTCCTGCTTGAACATTTCTGTAGGGATACTCCAGCCTCTCCAGATGCCTGGTCATTCTTCATCTGCTTGATGGCTTTGCTCACCTTGCAAAGATTGGAGGGATTCTGAGATCATCTCTGACTGAGTGTTGCAGGATGGAGTTGAGAACACTCTCATCAACAACAGAGTCGTAATGAGAAGGTCTTCAAAGTGCTCCTTCCAACAGGCATTGATGGCTCCTCTTTCCTTGATCGGGTCTTCTCCATCCTTACATCTCAAAGGGGTTGATCCCTGAGTGCTCGAGCCATGAATGGCTTTGGTGGCACCAAAGAAACCACATATTTCATGTATGTCAGTGATATGTTGAGTCTCCTTAACCTTGTCTTCCCACCATTTATTATTCATAGCATGGGACCTCCTTTGGGCCTCTGCCTTTGCTCGTTGGAGGTTCAATTTCTTTTGCTTGGAGTTGATGTAATTTTGCCAAGCACAAAAGGCCTTGCACCTGTGATCAATCAACTCTTCGATCTCCCTGTTGTTCTCATCAAACCAGTCTTGATGTTTCCTGGTGGAAAATCCAAGTGTCTCTTCAAAGGCGCCGATAACAGTGGCCTTGAGGGCACCACTCACGCCGCTGACATTATCCCGTTGTTGTTGATTGGAATTCACCAGTCTTTTGTTAAGGCACTGGTGGAAGAGGTCTTGCTCAGTTGGGTCCTTGAAACCTTCAGTGTTGATCTTCTGTTGGCATTACTTCTGTTGCAGCCATCATTTAGTTAGTCACAGGGACTTCTGAGTCATGCCCCTTTATACCAGCCTGAAGACCTGACGTACTAAACTGGTATTGTAAGGCTCTATAATTCTGGAGTGGTGGTAAGCATACCCCTGTCCATACAGTGACTTATATTTGACTTTTCTTCAGTAGCTCATGTCTAGCCTAATGTGGAAAACAGCTGAACCATTTTGTTTTTACCCAATGCTGTTTAAAACTTTTAAAAATGGAAACAACCTTGACCTTGCACAGGACCAAAGCCTAATAAAGATGTCAGCGTAACTCCCAAGGTCCAGCTCTTTGGATACATTACTATGCTAATAGCATTCCAAAGCATGCCAAGCATCCCTGAACACACAACACTTGCCCTGCAGAGATTACAAATCAACTTGAGGCAAAATACAGCAAGGGCAGTAATAGAAGAACAGCAGCTAATAGGAAAAGATGGACAGAAGTAGCATCTGGATTCATAAGGAATCTGATAGGCTACCTGCCTGGTACTGACTGCAGTTTGTGAACATGCACAGACAATCATGTGCAGTAGGAGCAGTTATTCAAGAGCTAAAACTGGAAGCCTCTTATCTGAAGAACAAAGCACTAGGAACCCCCAGCACTGCTATGGATTGTAGCCAAGCAGAGATATGCAGGCTGGTATGACCGTCATTCTACTAATCTATTTTATGCGCTGCTATTTTATCATTCCCATGACTAGGCTGAGATTCTGCCACTTCCCTCAGTGCTTAAAATCATGGCAAATTTACCTTCAAAACAACCCTTCTAATGTCCCAGAAATTCTCACCTTGGTCTCAGTCCTCCTTGTGGTTCCATCTTCAGAAGTCACAATAGACACATGGGAAGTGGGTGTGCCTGGATCTTCCTCCACCGTTACAGTCTCCTCCACCATCTCTTGAGGCTCTTGCATCATTGTTATTGAGGTCTGGTTGCTGGGGCTTTGCTCCTAAGAAGTAAATATGAAATACGTTTGTCACGTATCTGAGCACGACTTAGCAGAGATGCATTTGCGTTTTTATTTTGTGTTCTAGTGTATGCAACTGGATGGGCATACAGACTCAGAAGGGGAGACAGGTTATCGACAATCTGAGAGCATGCTGGCCAGACTAAACCCCTGGAAGCAAAGAACATCTGAAGCTGCCATCAAGGAGCCTGCATTTCCAATGGACTGTTTCTTCATATTTAAGCTTGATTTGCACTTCCCCTTCTATGCTTTGTCCAGGGGGAGAGGGGCAATATCTGCCCAGAAAAAAACATGCACCATGATCAGAGCAAACGCCACCACCAGGTTTCAAAGCAGTTCATTTTATTTGTTCTTAAAAACTAACTTCCAACTGATAAAACACTTTTCACACCTCAGTAGCAGAGCATAACAAGGCCATAAATGATCTATCAAAGCCTGCTAGTTACACAGAACTATAATTGACACACATCGTCCGCAGCCAAAACAATAATTATGGATATACGATAAGCCAAAACTAACAGCCGAATTGCAGGTGGCACTAGTGGGAATTCACTCCCCTTCTCAACTCCCCCTGCAAAATTCTGTAGCACGGTAAAGGCCTAACTAGTTACAAAATCAATTAAAAGTTTTGTATATATACACAAAGCGCAGTGAAGTGCTGAACAGAATGAAAAATCTCCTCTAGATCAAAGCATGGCTCCCTCGGGGCCACTGTCTGAAGATAATTCTTCTGCTTCTCACAAGCAGAAATTACTGTTTTCTTTTTTAATTTCCACATGCAATTTTGTTTCTCACATGGCAGCAGATATCAGAAAAGGTCCCCCACTAGGTGAATGAAATTCAGAAGTTTCACAGTATGTGGCCAATAAGGAGCCGATTTACAATACTGAGGAATGATACTTTTGCAAAACACTTTGAAGGCAATACAGTATGGTATAACTGCCGGCTATTCTTTTGCCCCCAAAAGCCACTGGACTTCATGAATGCACAGGGGTCCAACCCACTCAAGGCTCAGTGCAAAATTAGAGCCTATATTTCCTAAGTCAAGTCCTACTAGACATAGTATCTACGATCTTCCTGTATAATTAATTTCAAAAAAGAAATGTTTGAAAAATAGGAACAGAATGCACTGCTCACTGATCCTCCTAAGAAATTATTGTGAGCAAGACGGTATGTCTTTTCACTTCACAGACAAACAAAATGATAGGGAATAAATCTGTTGCTATGCAGGTGCTGAGTCTAATTATGTCGAGACTTAAATATCCTCCACCTGTAAGTAGTCTCATCACCAGGAAACCACAGCACATTGTTTTTGTAACATTTTATTTAGGAAATTACATTTCATCCCCATGATACGGTAGACTGCATCCTAGGCAGCGACATGCCTGCTATTGAGCTCTAAAGGAGAAAATACTTTCAAATGTCTTTATGCTGCTGAAAAGGAGCAGGGCTTTGAATTCTCTTGCTCAACTCCACAGGGAAAATACATTTCATTTAATCCTCACATGATCGGTAACCTCCTTTGAAACGAGCTGGCTAAGGTGCCCTTGTTCAAGATTTTTTATTTATTTACAGCTATATCGTGACATTATAAAAAATACCTGTTCCTTGCAATTCAGGCTTATATTTTAACTTGCAAAGAGTTTTTATATCCAGGTAGATGTTAATATTAAGCCAGTTGCAACATAGTTCAGCAGTGAGGACGGGAGCCTGAGGCAGCCATCTTGATCATAGTGGAGCGTGGGTAACCAGAGAAGAACAAACATGCTGTGCCAAATACATAGGTGGAGATAGGCATAATGCCGTTTTTTCCCCTCTGAAACCACAGCATATGTAAGACGGCAAATCTGTCTGCTTGAGCAAGGTTCAATAAAACCAAGAGGGAAGACTTGTTTCAGTTCACAAGCTTGTTTCTCACCCCTAAGTGCCAGCCCTATTCCCCCTCTTTCTCACTTCCGGGTGCATTTTGCAGCTCCCGGATTACTTCGTTGCTTATCCTTCCCCAAGTTCTTGTGAGGCAAGCCCTGCTTTGTGATGATAAACCTGGGGAGAGGGGAAGATGGCAGGGAATGTTTGGTTCTGCATGTTTCTGCAACGTTTTCTACTTCAGGAAAAAAATTAAATCAAATCTCCCTTTGTATTCAGTCTGCCCGTGGGCAAAGCAAATCTTGAAAGTCTGGCACTTAAACACGAGCAAACTGCAAACTAGTGCATGCTGACTTTAAATGAACCCCAGAGCTTGTTTTTATCCTGTGGCTGCTGCTAAAATGACGATCCAGGGAGATCTGGTAGAGATTTGCATTCCTAAAGGACAATGCTATCAGTAGGGAAAGAGTGTCCTGAGCTTCGAAAGATTAAAAGCCTGCTGAATTTAAGGCAGATTTCCCAGTTCAGGCAGCTACTGAGGCTGTTTGCCTGGATCTTCCCTCCCATGGTATGAACTATCTAGGGATGCTATAAGTGAAGGGAATAAAATGGCATCCAAACTCCTGCCCCCTGAGTTGTTTTCCAGGAGCTTGGTCTTTAATCTCTGAAGCCGTCACTTTATGTTCTTAATTCACGTTTTTGATATAGTAACAACAGTATGGAAAAAACACTCTGTTAGTTATCCTGGATTTCAAGTCTCCGTTAACACAGAAATTGGGACACGTTACCAACTTCAAACACTTCACAGACATCAGCAAGGAAGGACAGTCTCTTGCTAAACACCGTTTTGGCCAAAGAAAAGATTCCAAATATTTTACCAGTTAAGCTTAATTATTTAATATCTTGATACAAATTGACTGGCCAGACATTTTGGTATATACTAGTCTCAACAGCTTTGAATGACATAAGCACTGCTTCCTCGACAGACCGTCTGCGTGCCAGTGCTATAGTCTGGGTTGTGAAGGAAAGAGACAGCAGTTGGGATGCACTCCACAGCCCTCTGCCTATTTTCCTTGCGCGCTAGCAAGGCAAATTTACATTGTATACCCCGACCCCCTCCACAGGGCAGCCGTGCTTGTTATCACTAGTCTGGACCTCCTAAGCATCATAAACTGGGATTGTGGAGACAAAAAGCTCACAGTCCTCCCCATGAATCCCATGTTGTTAAAAGAGGAGGGTCCCAACTGAGAGCCAGCAGCTCTAAGGGGACTGCTCGAAGCAATTAAGGACTAGCTCTGAAGGAGGTTTCTCGTGGATCCAGGGGTCAAAAAGCAGGCTGGGATTCTGAAAGGTCCAACCAGAGTTGTTCTCTATCTCCTTTGATCTACAGGGGCGGCTACATCTAATTTATCCGTTTACAGAGTGATGATCCATCCAGGAAAACATAATACTGCTTCCAACAAGACTGAAGCAGGATTTCCCTTCCAGTAAATCAACATATTGCAAGGAGTTACTCAGAGAAATCACTGAGCATAACATACAAATCACTGAATCTTTTACTGTCACAGAAAATCAGAAGACAATGCCATGGTATTCAAAAAAGAGACTGCAATCCAGTCACTGCAAAGTGCATCAAAACTCAAGGCTTTTCCCCTTGCCTTTTGTCGGAGTACGGGATGAATTACATCTCTGTTTATCTGTATTTAAATCTCTAGCATCCTTTAAAAACAAGTTATTAAAAAAAACCCACACACAATCAATTTATTCCCAGCCTGTAAAAGTTTAGTGCAGATGAAATGTCTAAAAACCCACTAAAACAAGCAAGAACCATAAAATAATAGTAATTCTCTCTCTTTCTCTTTGGTTAAAAATAGAGTTATTTTCCATTTGAGGCACATATCTCCTAAGGCCTTCTTTGCATTAAAATATTGCAACCTCAACAATCATCACGATTTCCATTCCTAGGGTTGTATTTCCATTGAAGCAGCTATTTTATATCTTTTAAAATAAAAGAATAACCTTCTCCAAGAGGATCACACATCCTACATCACAGCAAACCAGTAAACAGAGTTGTTCATTATTCTCTGCCTATAAAACAATTTAAAGAGTCAGCAAATAATATAAAATTATAGGAGACTGCCACCTCCCAGGAAAACAAGCCCTCTTCAGAAACTTTCTTTTAATAATCACTCTTCCCGAGGTATCTTTTGTTTAGTGGACGGCAGTAGAGACTATTCAGGTTGCTGCTTACTTCAGGTTACCATCAGGTATCAGGTTTAAAGGCTTTAGTAAAGTACAAAGGCTGTATCTACATCAGTGGGGCATCTTTGTCCACAAAAACGTAGTATAGACAAAGGCAAAATGAATGGTTCACTGTGAAATGAACTACATATCTGGGCATAGTTAATGATCTCAGACAATATTTCAAATTGAATTAAACAAGAATATTTTATCTCTCCTGGATGGGTTACCTGCTGAAACCCTGATCCCAGCAACAATTAATTTTAATGGGTCAACTTACATGTCTGGTGTTAAGCACAATTAGCCTGTGCAGGCTCAAAACTCTGTCTATACAGTAAAGAAGAGGTATCAAAAGTACTTCTGGGCCGTGGAGCCACATTCTCCAGCTCACAGGACTCCCAAAGGGGCTGGAGCAAGCAGAGGCAGGGCCCACCACCAAAATCAGGGGTCCAGAGCCTCACTGGGCATGTGTCAGCAGCAGCACACAAGCCATGGCTGCATTAACCCCTGCACCACCACTGCTTGCCCTACCACCACCACTGTCAACCCACCAAAGACTGTACACACTCTCACATTTCTGATAGCTCTACAGCTCCATTCAGTCGTTGTGCCACCAGAGTGTGAAGAGCACCTTGGAAACTTTGGTGCTTTGGTGGGACTCCAGAAACCAGCA